CTAATGCGTGAGGCCTTGGAGGACTAATTCAGAACCTGCGGACTCTTTAATACTAAGAATGGCGGTCTCAGTACAGATTTAGGTAAACGAAGAAAATAACTTCTACAAAATATTGGGGGTTAATTCGATAAGAACAGAAACTAAACTTTGATCTTAGCCAAAAGGCCGAGAAGCGATTTAGTTTAGTTTTAGTTTTTAGTTTATATTGGCGAAGGCACGTCAGCGAGCTGGCGACAGAGGTAGTCAGCGAAGAAGTCTTCACAGGTACTAGCCTCGCCATATCCTCATAAGAACCCATAGGGGTCTCATTTCACAAGCACCCGCTTTACACTTCAACTTCGCTAACTTTGAGCGATTGTAACTCGTTCAGGACAATGGTTAGGCAAGATTTATTCGACAGTCTTACTAAACACAGCATGAGCCGCTTACTAGGCACACTAAATCTTAAGGCTACCACTACGCTAAGAAGCTTCACTTGGTTCACTTGGTGATGACAGCAGCAAAATTAAGCACGGCAGCATTAGAGCATTCGGCTTTCATAAATTTGTCAGCGTTAAGGTTTTCAGTGTCTTTTCTTCCGGTTTAGAAGTTATTTACCACAAGAATATTGTTCTTCTAAAAATTCGAAAATTTTAAAGTTAAGTTGTTGGAAAGTCCGCTACGGACTAAATATTCAGTTAGCCGTATTTAAACACGACAGTGCTTACATGTTATCGTGGCCGGCTATGAAGTCATTGCCGTGGTACGGCAATCAGTGAAACTGGGCTCTACAATATCTATGTGCGACTAAAGGGTATGTCGTCTGCAGCCTACGGAAAGGCGGGACTGCAACTGGAGACATCTTGTTTCTTCCACTGAACTTACAATTTAGGACATTAAAAAAGCTCGACGATGTAAGCTACGTCTAATTCATATTACTTTTTAAATCTCCTCAAAACATATGTAAAATATCCTTGGGATATGCTTCCGAAACCATGAAAAAAGATTTGCTTTCTGAACCCTTTTCTCGGTTTCTTTCCTTACATCCTCTTCCTTTTGCTTCCTACCGGATCCTGTGCTGGATATTTTACTGCCGGTGAACAAAAAATTTTATCAAATGACGTAACATTAGATAATAGGCAACACTTGGAACTTTGCGTTTATCAGTTTAAGAAGAGATGAAATATGTAAGAGCTATTTTTATGGTAAATTCCGTGGGATTCACAAAAACTAGGGTTGGAGTATACGAGGCTACCCTGCTTAAATCGATAATAACTCTTTTTTTTTACAACGGAACATTCAGATCTGGGCAATTTTCTTTTGTTAGAAGATGGTTCCGGATAAATAGAATAGCTTCATGCTTTTCATGGTATAGCAAGAAATTAATACATAGCTTAAAACCTGCCAGAAAAGGCGCTAAGCTAATAGACCAGGAATTCACCACGATTTTTATAGATATAACAACGCTTTATTTTATTTTTCCGATTTTTTATGTATACGTAAAGCGCGCCAAACGAAGGAGAAAAAAATCCAAGGAAAGCAGAAAAACAATATGTAGGTCAAAAAGCAAAAAGAAGAAAATTGTAGCAGAAGTTGAAACAAAAAGCGAGGAAGCTGTGAGGCACATAAAATGAGTTAAATCTATTTAATACATTGGAAGCCTAAATCCATTATTTAACTTGCCTTAGGTAAAACGATAGTACCAATTTATGCTGCTGCAAAAATATGTTAATAGTAACTAGCGGTACCTGCTTAGAGTGGATAAGTCGAAGTGAATCGAAGACAAATGCCAGCAGAGGAAATCTTAAATCTGACAGTGAAAGTAAGCCCTCTCAGGACTGTAGGACATTGGCTGGATGGGGGAAAAACTCGCGAGTGGGAAAAAGTTGCATAGAGAAAGAGTAAGCAAAAAAACTCATACCGAATGGTTTTCGACTAGAACGTAGTGTTTTCTGATCGGGTTCCTTTAAAATTTAGAAATTTTCTTTGTGAATTTTCTTATTGAAAACAGTATCCGCAACTTTTTGAGCTTTTGTAGAGATAGACTATCCATTAATTTCTTGAAATAACATTGAATGTGTGCTCTAAATAGG